TGCTAAACCAAGTCCAGAGTTTTCACAAACGAGGCCATAAATTTTCCGAGCGCGCCATTTTTTAAACGTCTTTTTTTTTGAGTTTTTCTTTTCAGGTAATGGCAAAGGCATTATGATATACAGCTAAGTCTTCAGTTTTTTTTTTTAGTTAATTAAATGATGTAATGAAAGATGATTATTGATGTACTTTGTGCTTTACTGGGATTTCTTCTTCACGTTCACGAAAATTTAATGGTTAATAGTCCATCATTATTACACACATTCGGCTAAACCAAAATTTCACCAAGATTTTACCAAGTGTTATACCATTTTGGAATCCTTACTAAATGCGCCAAATTTTGACGTTACTTGCCGAACTCTTGTAGTACAATTTTTTTTCAGTACAGTCAGTTTAAACTAGGTTAAACTTTTATTTTGAAATTTTTTTTGAAAAAAATGTATTTTTTTCAACTAAGCTGCAGCAGCTGGCCTTATAATTTAGATAACAATTTAGAGAAGCATTAATCAGGGTTACATAACAAAAAAAAAAAATTTGGAAAAAGTGAAGATTTGTGGCAACACGAGTAAAAAGACCGTCACCGGGAGTAGAATTTTTTGTTTTTTTTTAAATGCCTATTATTTTTAAAATATACCACATAGATTTTTTTTTATATTTTTCTGATAACCAGCACAACTTGTCTCAACACCCAGTTCCGGCTTGACGTTACATTACGGGACACCCTGTAGATAATATAAATGGCAATGCCAGATTTTGTATGGAAGGTGACGTCTTTTTTTTTTCGCGCGGCCATCGACCAAACTTTGTTTTTTGATTACAAAATAGTGTAATAAACCAAACTTACTATGGCATGTATACCTCTAANAGGTGTGTCCATAATTTTTAAGTTAGCGGGCAGGTGTGCCGATGGGCCAAGTGTGTCCTTGATTTTAGTTATGAAGCGTTAGCGTTGTGTCCATAGTGGATTATTGTTTCCATTTTTTTTAGCTTGATAGCTAGCTTTTAGCCTTTCCAGTTTCTTTTTCATAATATATTACCCACCTAATATTGTAGGTTAAGAGACGCACTGGGTGTGCTTGCCGACTTCGGGCAGGATTTTGCTGGTATGTTAAGCGAGCCATCCAGTCGTCGCAGTTGTGTATGAGGGTCGCACTGACTAAAATACAAACTGAAGTTACATGTAAAAGTGGCAAAGCAAAGAAGAGCATACAATATTTGTCAAGCAATATATTTTTAGATTTTATTTTTGGTTTTGAATAGGAAATAAATCAAGAGCTTAATATGATATAAAAATTGAATATAGCCCCATAAAATTTTAAGTTGATGCTTGTCATACACAGTTTATTCCGTTGAGAAGTTTATTTCACAGTTGAGGACAATGGCGTCTGAATATAAAGCCGGTACACCACCGGGGACCCCTGTCAGCCAACGATCAAATAAGCGAGCTAAGCGGATGAAGTTGTCTTCGTTGTCAAAGTAAGGAGGCGTCACCACGACGGTCTTCTATGGGGTGAAGTTGCAAGAAAAGAATGCAAAGGGGCTCATCTTCTTCCAGCTATACTGAAGAAGCAGGTTAGCAGCTTAGATTCGTAAATACTCTCTAGTGAAGAGATTTTTTGAAATTATTTTGTCTAGTAGTTATCTGGGGGCACGGCAGTGCCCCCACCAAGTCGAGCAAAAAAGCGGCACGGCCGTACCATCCTATTCTCGAAGCAATTCAGGCCATTTTCGACCGCCTGTAACTTCGTTGTGGATAAAACTAGAAGGCTGAATTTTCGTCATTTCTTTTTGTATTTTGTAGACAGCAGTTATGTATCTAGAAAACTGGACCGAAATTAAAAAATTTTACTCGACTTGGCGGTTGCGCTACCGTGCCCCCAAATATTTTAGTTTTTCCTTGATTCATACACCAAACACTACTTATATTCCAAATTTGAAGCTTCTAGGTCTGCTAGAAGTGCCTTAGAGTTTTGATGATCGGTGAGTCAGTGAGTCAGTGAGTCAGTGAGTGACTAAATTAAGTAACTTTGACCCGTTATAATTCTTAAACTACTGGTTCAAATTGAATGAAATTTTAAATATACCGTGTCTTTACAATGCCTGCATGGTTACTGAAAATTCAGTCTTCTAGTTTTATCCACAACGAAGTTACAGGGGGTCGAAAATGGCCTGAATTGCTTCGAGAAAAGGATGGTACGGCCGTGCCGCTTTGTTGCTCGACTTGGTGGGGGCACTGCCGTGCCCCCAGAACATAATATAAGCATGAATGTTGATAAGATTGACGTTGTTGTAATGTTAGTGATCAATGATGTATAGGTATGTAGAACACTGACAAATGGTCGGAACTTCTCGGAACTGTCATTTCTCACGGTTTTGAATAATAGTTCTACACTAACATTCTATTAAGGTCCTAGTCAGAATATTTTTGAGAACCACGAAGACTTTTTGTTACTGATACAATAGAAATCACAGATACAAGCGTACTAATTCTGGTTTTACCGAGGATAGTTACAAATTTCTTAGAGTCTCCTCTCGATCAAAATATTTTCGTGGGCTTAATTCCCATCTTAGGCAGTTGCGATATCATTGATATTTATTTATTTAAGGTTCGCAAAACAAGTGATAATATAGTGATAGAAAATAAAAATTTTGCCTAGTTTAAACTGACTGTACTGAAAAAAAAATGTACTACGCGAGTGTGGCAAGTGACGTCATAATTTGGCGCATTTAGTAAGGATTCCAAAATGGTATAACACTTAGTAAATTTTTGCTGTAATTGTCGACAATTTTTGTTTTTTTGGAAATAGTCCCGTTTTTAACTTTATTTACCTTGGTTAAAAATTATTATTCTAATGTGCCCAAAATTTAAGTTTCTGGCTTATGTGAGGTGGAGAAGCCATTTTAAAAGGTATGAGCGGGACGGAGAGGGCCATCTTACCAAGCAGGGATGTTATGGATATCCGTAACCGTAACCGAAACAATCGGATATCCGAAATAAAAAAATGTTCATAACCGTAACCGAAACTGATTCAAAAGTTACGGATAGTTTCGGATAAAGGCCAAACTGCAAAACTCTATGTGTTGAGTTCAAAACTTCAAACATTGTAAACAAGATTTTCGCAGTCGCAAATACAATCCTATCGAAGATACACGCGTTTCATTCAAGTAAAAGTTAGCTTAGCAATAATCACCCTTAACTACATTAACATAATGGTCAAAATCGAGCCGAATCACCTGCGTACCCAGTGACTACCTGCGAGACCCGTCCGTCGACGAGAACAATAGAAGCCGCATTCCATTAACTGATAAGCGAGCGTCGATCTATTATTGGCACTTTTAACAAGTTATTATGACATCTGCGTAATATTCACAACATCAACGAGTTATTTAACAACTTCAAGTGCAGTTTTTGAACATTTACAAATGAAAAATGAGTGTTAAAAAGGAACAACTTATTCTATTACTTGAAGATACTGCGAATTTATTGAAGAAAGCGCAGAGTAACTTGAAGAAATCGCCGAAACAACGACTTAACAGCCGCGGATACATTGAAGCACGAATAAAATGCATTGATGAATATTGGATTTCATTCAAACGCGCCCACGACGACTTGATAAAATGCACAACTTTGGAAGAACGTGGACAGTTTTCTTATTTCGTGAATGAAGAATTTTACTTTTATGAAGACTTGTACGTATGCATGTTGGCAGACCTGAAGGACATCCTGTCTTCATTACCAGCGCGTGGGGGACGCTTCAATACTTCACCTGCCCCAGGTTCCAACTCCTGCGTCGCACAACTACCCAAAATTGAAGTGAAGAAGTTTTATTTTAATTATGAAGAATTCCCGGCGTTTCAAGATCTGTTCGAGTCGTTAGTGCACAATAATTCGTCGCTGAGTAACGTTGAAAAACTACATTATTTGAAATGCAGTGTCGGCGGAGAAGCAGAGCTTTTACTTAGAAATATACAAGTGACAGACAGTAATTACTTAGAAGCATGGAACACCTTGAGAAACAGATTTGGTAACAAACGTGTAATTGTGAATTCCATATTGAAGAGACTTTTCAATCAAAAGAAAATTTCACATTCAGCCAACCAAATAAAATCACTTTTGGACACCACTTCCGAATGTTTAAATAATTTGCACAACATGAAGATAACAACCGACTCCTGGGATCCTCTAATAATATTTCTGGTGGTACAGAAGTTGGACTCGGAGTCACATCAAGCCTGGGAAGAGTATGCCTACAAGGACAATTCTGAAGAATTACCCAAGTGGACAGACTTAAAGAAATTTTTGGAAAGCAAATTTCGAACACTAGAAGTTGTCACGACATCCACATCTGTTACCAAAGATAAAGTGATAAAAGAACGATCATTTCATGTCACAACTAAGGAAAAAACTTGTTCTATGTGCAAAGAAAATCATACACTGTGTCACTGCAAAGAATTCACGAAGATGTCTCCATCTGAACGTAGTGAGTACGCAAAGAGCAACAGGTTATGTTTTAACTGCCTGGTACCAGGGCATTCTGTAATAAAATGTCGTGTTCCAATGTCCTGTCGTATATGTCACAAGCGGCATCATTCTCTTCTACATCAACCAAGTAACGCAAGTACCCACGGTAATTCAGAGACCATACAACCAACGGTATCAGCACTATCCAATGTAGAAGAGCAAGATATCCAAGTAAACACAATGATGACGCCACACTCAAATCGCAGTACCAGACCAGGAACAGCACTATTAGCCACTGCTATGGTGACAGTGAGAAGTGAGCAAGGACACACCATAGTACTACGCGCGCTAATACACCAGGGCTCACAGGCATCTTTTGTCAGCGAAAAGGCGGCTCAAATGCTCAAGCTCACAAGACAACCAGCGAGAGGAAACATAATTGGCGTAGGATCGACAAAAACTAGCGTAAATCAAGTCGTGCAGTTGCAAGTCTTATCAAGATACAAGCCAGTTTCTACCTTGAACATACAAGCTTACGTCATGTCAAAACAATTGACTTCACAAATACCTGCCAAGTCAATCGCTGTGAAGAATTGGACACACCTAGAAGGACTCAACCTGGCCGATCCAACGTACAATACACCAGGGTCTATAGATTTGCTTCTAGGTGTCAGAGAATATGCACAAATTGTTCAGCAAGATATAATCAAAGGTCCTCCAGGCACACCTTGCGCTCAGAAAACCAGCCTAGGTTGGATCTTATTTGGAGAAATAGACACAAACTCAAGCAAAGACTCAATTCTCGTAATGCATCACCAAGTAGATGTAGAAGAAATGCTGAAGACAATTTGGGAAATAGATACAGATCGTAAAAGAAAACATACACGCGAAGAACAACTATGTGAAGATTTATACAACAACTCATACACAAGAAACGAAGAAGGAAGATACGTTGTGAAACTGCCCTTTAAAACGAAACATATAAAGTCAACAGAAGGAAATACAAGAGAAGTAGCTATGAATAGACTATTGCAACAAGAGAAAATGTTTAGAAGATTACCAGAAAGACATAAAGAGTATGTGAAAGTTATAGATGAATACAAAACAATGAAACATATAGAAAAAGTACCTCTGAATGAAATAGAAACAAAGAAATCTGTTTATGCACCTCATTTTGCCGTCATTCGTGAAGGAAAAGAATCGACAAGCGTGCGAGTCGTCTATGATTTTTCTGCTAAAGGTTCTAACGGAGTATCGTTAAATGATGAATTGTTATTGGGTCCTACGTTACAAGATGATCTCAGAAGCCTGATTATCAGATGGAGGATGCACAAAGTGTGTTTTGTGTCTGACATCGAGAAGATGTATAGGATGATACTGATAGCCAAAGAAGACGCTGATTTTCAAAGAATCTTGTGGAGAGCATGCCCAACAGATCCAATCGAAGACTTGAGATTACTTACAGTGACCTTCGGCACGGCATCAGCCCCTTACCTGGCGATAAAGACGCTCCTTCAACTCGCCACTGATGAAGGCATAGATTTCCCACTAGCTGCTAATGTTGTTCGTGAGGATTTTTATGTTGACGACCTACTATCAGGGTGTGATGATATCGAAACTGCTGTCAAGATTAGCAAAGAACTGCAAGAGTTACTCAGCCGTGGTGGATTTAAACTCAAGAAATGGGCCTCAAACAATGCAGATTTTATGAGATCAATCGAACCAAGTGAAAGATCAGCATCTGTTCATCTTGACATGAATGTCGGTGGAACCACAAAAGCATTGAGCGTTGTCTGGGATATCGGAAGCGATCGATTTCAATACAATTTGAATTTTCCAACAATGTCTGAAACAATCACAAAACGAACTATCCTGTCAGACATACAGAAACTTTACGACCCATTAGGATGGATCGCACCAGCCATTGTCTCGGCAAAAATGTTAATCCAAAAGCTCTGGCAAGAAAAAGTCAATTGGGATGAAGATTTGAACGAAATACTGAAACAACAATGGCTAGCTATTCGCACAGATCTGGAAAATGTAAATGAAATACAAATGGATAGATGGTTAGACACCTTAACATCTGAAAAAGACGCTATTCAGATCCATGGCTTCAGCGACGCTTCCATGAATGCCTATGCTGCCGTCGTCTACTGTCGAGTGAAGAAACCTGATGGATCTATAAAAATCAAACTGATTGCCGCACGAACAAGAATTGCCCCACTGAAGACAGTATCATTGCCGCGTCTGGAGCTCTGTGGAGCCGTTCTGCTCTCTGAGTTGCTGAAACAAGTCTCACAAGCCATGAGAATCCCTAGTTCACAAGTTTTCGCATGGACAGATTCCTCCATCGTGTTATCATGGCTGCTTGGAGATGTGAGTAGATGGAAGCTCTTTGTGGCAAACCGTGTCGTCGAAATCCTGGAAAACGTGAATGGCAATCAGTGGTATCACGTTATGTCAAAGGACAATCCAGCAGACATTGCGTCGAGAGGTATGCTACTGAAAGATTTAAAAGATTGTCAGCTCTGGTGGGAAGGGCCTGAATGGCTTTCGAGTGACAATATAGAATACAGAAGACCTAACTACGTTGCTACAGACATTGAAAGGAAGAAAGTTATACAAGCTAACTTGAAAATCGACGATACCGAGAATAATTCACTTCTCAATCAAATAGAAGAATTCGATGATCTTAGCGAGCTTACAAGATGTATTGCTTGGTGTAGAAGATTCCTGAAACAAAAAGAATACAAAGATGAAATAAACAACACATTAACAACAGAAGAATTAGAAAAATCGTTACTTACATGTATCAAGTTGATCCAAGAGAGAGAATTTTCTGAAGAAATAGATTCAATTAAAGAGAAGAAAGAAGTAAAATCAAGAAGCTGCTTAAAATCTTTGAATCCTTATTTGGACGACCATGGTATTCTCAGGGTGGGCGGCAGATTAAGGCACGCCAATTTAGACGAAGACACCAAACATCCTATTATACTCAGCAATAACAACAAATTAACATCATTGGTGATTGCAGACGCTCACTTCAGAACCATGCATGGAGGAGTACAACTGATGCTCTGTTATTTGAGGTCCAAGTATTGGATTATTAGAGCTAAAGGACTGGTCAAGAAATACATACACAAATGTTTGATATGTGCAAAACAAAGCGCTGCAGCTCGAACACAACTTATGGGGGACCTGCCAAAGCAACGTGTCACTCCATCAAGGCCGTTTTCACATAGTGGAGTAGACTTCGCTGGTCCTCTTCAGGTACTGATTTCGACGGGACGAGGGTCACGAACAAAAAAGACATACATTGCCATTTTTGTGTGTATGGCCACAAAAGCTATACATTTGGAGTTAGTCGGAGACATGACTTCAGAAGCCTTCATCGGAGCCTTTCGAAGATTTGTGGCAAGACGTGGAAAATGCTGTCATCTCTGGAGTGACCAAGGTCGAAATTTTGTTGGAGCCAATAAAGAGTTGGTTGCAGCCTGGAAAGAAGCGTGTCTTGAATTCAGTGGTCAAATCGCAGATTCTCTTGCCACAGATGGAACTCAGTGGCATTTTATACCAGCATACAGTCCACACCATGGAGGGTTATGGGAATCTGGCTTCAAGTCCATAAAACACCACTTGAAACGCATTCTAAATATCAATCTGACCTTTGAAGAAACGACCACAATTCTCTGTCAAATCGAAGCATGTTTGAATTCTCGCCCTCTCAGCCCCATAGATGATACAAGTACAGATAACTTAGAGCCACTGACCCCTGGGCATTTTTTAATAGGCGAAGCTCCTATCGTTGTCCCCAGCCCTAATCTACAAATCGTCAAGATCTGCAACTTGTCACGCTGGCAGCATACTCAGAAGCTTGTGAACGATTTCTGGCACAGATGGCAAGCAGAATATTTATCTAGACTGCAACAAAGACCTAAGTGGTTGAGAAAGCAAAAAGAATTTGATGTATAATATTTTAAACTATTATGTTGCATTGTTTTACTATAAAATTATCACTTCACGGGATTTATTGCAACAATATCTATTTTAACGGTAAATAATATTTACCCTCCCGACGTTTCGGCTCGGTTGCACGAGTCATGGTCGCGGGCAGACTGAAGAGATGCGGCGTCGTCTGCTCCGGCGCGATGAGTTTTCTTCACCCACCCGCCTTTGCACAATATTTTCGTCAGTGGTACAGTCAGTCCGACAAACTACACTAACAGTGTCCGAGTTTCTCTGAGACGGCCTAGAACGCGATTTGTACTTCGTTATCACCGGATTCCACGCTGAAGATAATCCATCTTCTCGATTGAAATTCTTATGCTTGTTAATTTCAATGGCTTCACGTATCAACCTAACATGGTAATGCCTATCAGTTGAGAGGGTCATGAAGTTCCATCCAGTGATTAACGTCCGAAGTTAACAGATGTTCAGCTATCGCAGATTTGCACGTCTGTCGGTTCTTTACAGCCGCTATGTGTTCTTTGACTCTTTCAGCTATAGACCGCTTAGTTTGTCGTATATAAGAACTACCACAGCTGCAATCGATCTTATAGACACCCGGCGTCTGAAGAGGTATAATATCCTTTAGTATGCAACCATGACTCGTGCAACCGAGCCGAAACGTCGGGAGGGTAAATATTATTTACCGTTAAAATAGATATTGTTGCAATAAATCCCGTGAAGTGATGAATTTGATGTAGGCCAGATAGTGCTCATCAAAAATGAATGTCTCCCACCAGGAAAATGGGCTTTGGGCAAAATAGTAGACAAACATCCAGGGACTGATGGCATTTGCAGAGTATACAGTGTCAAAAGCGGTGATACCGTTACTAAACGACCTATAACAAAATTGTGTTACTTACCCATTGATATTACAACTGATTAAGCATTAGTTAGATAATTAATCTATTTATTGCATTAGCTGTTGACTAAGATTTAGTTTAAATTGCACTCTAAATTCATATTATTTTTGATAATAGATAAACGTAACTTTATTGTAAATTCAATGTAAAGTAAATTCATTTAGTTAAAAAGCAAACTACACTAGTATTGATTATGTTGATTGAGTTTTTGTCATTCTAATATTTACATACGATACGATACGATACGATAGTGCTCACCCAGCCAGGACGAGGCCTGCTCCGGTCAAACCGGCATACCAGGAGGCACAATTTTAAGGAGGGACACGCTCTGGGATGGGAGAGGACGGCCGACTAGCCGCTGCGTCTTTAAACCGCAACCGGTCGACCACAACCAAGTAGATATGCATCCTGAGCCTGGTCTAGGAAAATAGGTAAAGACGGGTTATCGTTGATAGGACTGAGCGTTGATGCGATGAGATGGGCGGTCTGGCCTTTGATGAGATGGCTTTGGTTGTTCTTGGTTCATGTACTGCTGCTAGACTAGCCTCGTTGTTCTCTTGATATCTGCGGTACTACGTTTTTGTCGTCTCTGTATCTTCCAGATTAAATATTTCTTCTACTTCTTTTCTTAATGTCGTTGGAAGGACTAAACGCGTGGTGCGATGAGATGGGCGGTCTAGCCTTTGGTGAGGGAGGTGGCTTGTTTATTCTTGGTTCTCGTACTACTGTTTTTTTTTTTTTCTATGTTTGTTACGCGATAACTCCGCCAATTATGAACCGATTTGAACAAATCTTTTTTCGGCGTATATGTAATACCTCAAGGGTGGTCCCATTTAAATTTAATAATAAAAAAAACAACCCCCAAGGGTGGAAAATTGGGGATGAACTTTTTTATACGCAATATCTCCGCCGATTATAAACCAATTTGAACGATTATTTTTTTGTTGAATAGGTATTATCAAAAGGGTGGTTTCATGCGAATTTGAAGAAAATATTTCACCCCCAAGGGTGGAAAATTGGGGATGAACTTTTTTATACGAAATATCTCCGCCCATTATGAACCAATTTTTTTTGGTCTCAGTGTACTGCCTACCTTCAGTGGTAACATCAAGTTTATTACCTTAGTTAACTAAAAAGCAAGAAATAAGTAAAATTTTATAAAAAAAAATAAAACCGACTCCAAAAAACCTACACTAAAACGTAGAAAAATAATTAATTAGTAATTATTTTTTAGGACGAATTATTAATATTTATGTAGGTATACCATGATTGATACTTTTGGAGTCGGTGCAGGCAAACTACATGTTTCATAATCTTGGCACCGACTCCAGAAGTATCAATCTACTTAGCACGTGTTTTTGCAAGCAGTAATGAATGCAAGTACTGCTGGTCGTCAAATGGCAAGATATTCATTCGAGAAAAAGATGGCTCTCCACTCCACCTAATAAGAAGCGAATCAGATCAGGCCTGGCTCACTCCGCGCGGTACATCCGATAATTACCTTCAGCGAAGCGCCCCGCCGCCGGCGGGTATTATATCAGTCGAGTGTCACGCGCGCGCCCGTCAGGACGCTGGCGTGCGTTGTAGTACCTAATTCTATGATCGAAGTATTATTTAAAAATGGACATAAAGAGAAAGAAATATTGTGCGGAGTTCGGGTGTTTAAATTCGAAAAGAAATCTACCGTATCTTTTTTCGCTTCCCAAAGATGCTGAAAGGTATGTTGGCCTTGTAGGTAATCAATAATTCTTAGGATAGTATAGGAACCTAACCTACCATGACTACTGCTCAGAATGCGTTCGTTCGTTTCAGCCAAATGACGTCCACTGCTGGACAAAGGCCTCTCCCAAGGTTTTCCATAATGAATGCGTACTTACATACATACGTGTCATGAGGTATGTGCCATCTTCGTTTGGTTCATCTTCTTCGTCGGGGTCGTCTTCTTCGTCGGGGTCACCATTTGTGCCATGTTGGGGGACCGTATGAATGAGACACGGGTTGTAGTTAGTCTCTGATATTAATCTGTTTATTAACGCGAACTGCGTGACTATTTATACGATATAGATTAAAGGTAAATGACGTCACAGCATCAGCACTATACGTGATAAATGTGCTGACACTGTGAACGTGATCAAGATAAGATATGAAGAGATTTAGTATTGTGCATACCGGCACAAGGTACGTACCTCATGACATATAAGTAGATTAATTATTTTTTTCACTAGACAGCAACCCTAACAGCGTAAGAAGAGTTCAGAGGCACGCGATAGAAAGAGACAAAACTTGTAGGTGAATAAAATTGTAGGTACGTAGTGCTGTGCGAGCTGAATTCCACTGTATTGCGTCGCAGCAAGACTCGCATTTATTTAAATCGTCTTGCAGAGTAATCCTTCTGTACCTGTACTATTACTTATTCTGTGATCAGATCTAAACAAACTATCTATATCAAAATGACTAGTCTTACTGTGTGCTTACGTGTATGCTTATATAATAGCTTTTTCTCTCCTGAAAATATTGTCTGATATCAACCTTTGCCAACAAGCGAATGTTTTTCTCAGTAATACGATAATTTATAAACATATTTATATTTTAAATACTCACACACACATACACATACATTCACACATTTACATACATGCCTCTCCAAATCAAATCAAAAGTACCAAATATTTCACTTCTCACTTAGTTTATTTGTTTAAAAGCTTAACCACCTTACTCTTGTTACAAAAATGCTCAGTAATTTTGTTAGAAATTCATTGTTACTTTTATAATATTATATGGATAAAAACTTACAAATAGCTACAGAGATCGATGACGTATCGGTCTGTAACTCCTACATTTGTTCTCCCGAAAAAGCTTCAGATCATATAAATAATTCTTCAAATAATCTTAACATATTTCATGTGAATATAAGAAGCATTGGTAGCACAATAAACTTTAATAATTTTATACTTCTTCTAAAAAGAATAAATCTGGATTTAGACTTAATCATTTTATCAGAGTGCTGGTTGAGCAAATGTCCATATCTTCCTAATATTCCTGGCTATCAAACCCAATGTACCAAACACTGTAACCAAAATGATGGTGTGGTAGTTTACATAAAAGACAATATCAGCGCCAAAGTTATCGAGCCCACTATAGATGATGCAAACTGTCTGACTATCCAACTTTTAAATACTAGTGTGGCTATTATCGCTATCTACCGGTCGCCGTCTTGTAAAAATCTAGAAAATTTTACTTACTCCTTAGACAACCTTTTGGCCTCATTGCGTTCCTTTAAAACCCTTGTTCTAGTTGGTGACCTAAACATAAACATATCTCCAGACAATGTTGACCATAATTCTCACTCATATCTTAACCTGTTGGCATCCCACTCTATGCTACCGGCGCACCTATTTCCTA